TGGTATCTTTGGATAATTACCTGCAATTCCCGGTGGGAATGAGAATCGCTCTTGAAAGCGCATATAATCGCACACGGCCAGGGAACCTCCCTGAGTTCCATTCTACAACCGGAGAACACGCGGTAGTACGCCGTCACAGAATAATCAGACGCGGCGAAGGTACTTCGAGGCTTTCCTCTATCCATGATAACTAAATGTTCGAGGACGAACATTCTAATTTTGGGGAGATAATGTTATGATACGACATGAGCCAGATTATAGATTCTGGGCATCCTGTATAATACGAAGGACGAAGAGTCTAAACATTCCTGATCGGGGTTACCCCTCACCTACTGTATAGAAGGGTTCCGAACTATAAAGGAGCGTGAGGCTGAGACATCCCTGAAGAAGGATAACACTTTTTAGAGATCGAGAATACGACAGATAGACTAGGCCTATCCACTAAGGCTGAACTATCTATAAACCGATCTACTCGTAGTTTAAGAGACAGCTCCAGGCTGTTTCATAATATTTGACTATCAAATTCCGTGATAGTTTAGTGGCTAGAATTACCGCTTGTCGCGCGGTAGACCGGGGTTCAATTCCCCGTCGCGGAGCTTTCTTTTTGAAGACCTGGTCACCTCACTAGGTCAGATTTTTCCCCGAATCTACTGACGCAGGTCTCGCTGTACAAATAACGACCGTAAAATCCATGACCCCAAACAGGCTTAACAGGATTGTGCCGAAAAAAGCGGGGTTGTAGAAGGACAGTAAGCACCTAAGAGGGAAGGGTTAGTTCACAGAATACGAGACTTGTAGTTTGCCCAGGTACCAGGTGAACATCAGCAACTTTGCAGCTCTGGCCTGCTACTGTGTGCTAGGCAAAAGATGATAACAAGAGAACGGAATGAGCGCCCCCAAAAAAGTGCAAGATGAACGTAGTCTCTTTGGTAGAGCAACGGTTGTCGAGAAGGTGAGGACGCCTCCACCATTGCTAGAAACGGCGGAAACCACCTCGATGATACGCTGGGTGTAGATGGCTTAGCGAAAAGAATAAAATTGCCCGATTCGGTATAGTGCTGGCACATGTTATGTCGCGAGAGCGGAGTGTAATCTACGTGGACGTCTGAAGCCCAATGCTTGGCTTCCCTGGCATTGCGGAATTCTGCGCTGGCAATCGCCTCTCTATAAAGATTAAGAATGCATAGTCGAGGTCTTTCTCTGTGGGTGCGGAACAGTGTCTTGGCAGACGCCTCGAAACGGCTGGCTCTAACCAGCAATTCTTCGCTCACATACACCCTCTATCTGCTTTTCATATTTTGACATGTTTTATTAGACACGAAACCACATTACTGAAGATCATTTCGCGTATTCGAAACAAAACTTCACGTCTTCTTGTATTTTTGACAGATCAATGGGTCCAACTCATGCGGTAGGAGCCAGGAATGCATGCTTCAGACCGGTAGTTAATCATTCCATATGAGCCATCTACTAGACGTTACCTAACTAGGCAAAAGCCACTCCTTCGACCCAAGTAGGCCTCCATATTGCCTGATGAGCCAAGAAGTTTTTTGAGAGCCTATTCCGGAAATCCTCCGGATATTAGCCCAATCTAATCCCTGTATGGTCACGAGCCATTGCGAAACGTGGGCCGCTCATCTGGTGCTTGCCCAGAATTTCGATGAAGAAAACCATATAAACCTCGCAGCTGCAGAGAGCTGACTTGGATCGAATCCGACTTGTGTCTCTACTCGTTCCGAGCTGCGTTTTTTATAGTTCAAAAGAATTGAAAATATGAGCCTGCGATGTCCGTCGCCGGCTCGTCTAATAAACCGTGGTCCACGTGTGCGCATAACATCTGCAACACATTCCACGATGACAAATGAGCCCCCGCTTATTTTGACTTCAGAAGACGGAGAGAAATAATATAAGAAGCTAGGGCAGGGGCGTCTATTATCTTACCTGACCTGAACTGAAATTTTAGCCAGTCTTTGAAGACACTCAAGCAAACTCAGATAGGCGCATCTTTTTCAGTGAAGAATGATGTTCCGGATTTTTTTCGCAGTCATTCTCGCGTGCTGCAGCGTGGCCCAGATACTTAATAACATTGACTCGCTTAGGCTCCAGAACCAGTTCCGGGCCGTGGCGCCAGACTCGGTCATTACTGAGCTTTTGATCTCGTTGACCTCGGAAGAAACGGACTTCATCACAAGAAACTTGAACCACTTGCAGGAATATAACGGCACGCTGTGTGAAAAATGTCATTACAAGATGAAGTATGCCCAGCTGATATTGGAGGAGAATCCAGATAAGCCCCATTTGATCTCTTTGATGCTTTATGAGAACTGCCTCGCTTTGAATGACAATGACGACAGCTCGTGTGAGTTTTTGGATTTCCTTGTCACTACAAACACCTACGACTCTGTTGCAAAGAATGCCGCGTCAGGGCCAAGCAGTGCATTTGATTCGGCAACCTCAGTCAACTTCTACGATAACGATTTTCTTCTGTTGATCAGAAACATGAACGTGTCCTCCAACCTTACTTTGGACTACTACTGTCACTACAAGGGAAAGTACTGCGACCTCCCCGTCACTCCTGAAGTCTCCGAAATCTTTGACTTGGACTCCATGTGGCCGAAAAAAGAGGCCAAGTGCCACAAACATCCAGAGTACAAAACTTCGGGAAATGTTTTCAATGTCTTGCACATGTCGGATTTCCACAACGAGCTTCGCTTCCAGCTAGGGGCTGAGGCCGATTGTTCCCAGGGGTTGTGTTGTCTTCCAGAGTCGTACAATTCGGATTTGACCGACTCGAGCTATAACTTCACAGAAGTGTATGAGAGTGCAGGTGCCAGCCAAGACATGGGTCTCTCTTTTTACGAAGGGTCCCACTATGACGAGAACAACACCTTTGTGAAGGGTACGTACCATGATTTCCCGGAGAGCCGTGGCTGGAACTGGGCATGGACACCCGCCTCCACATTCGGAAATTATCAGTGTGACCCTCCTGAAGTGTTGCTAAACAACAGTTTGTTTCAAGTGAGCCAGTTTGCCGAAGAAAGAAACTTCGAGTTCTCGCTTTTTACTGGTGACATCGTGGACCACGATGTAATTCACTGTGATGCCAACGTGACCAAATTTGCCGAAACCCGCTCGTACAAGATCATGAAGCACTTTCTTAAAGACATGCCAATCTTTCCCACTTTGGGAAACCATGATACATTCCCGTACGGCCAATTGGCGCCTTACCACTTGAACAATGTCACGTTTGACGAGTCTACCTACCACTGGAACGAGGATGAGATGACAGAACTTTGGATGGGCAATGGCTGGTTTAACAAGTCGGAAAACACAAAGATCACCCAGCATTACGCTGGTTTCTCGACCACCACGTCCAGGGGCCTCAAGGTTATTTCCTTGAATTCCAATTGCTACTATCAGAAGAATCTTTACTCGTACATTGATGTGGAGAATCAGCCGGATCTCTTTGGCCAGTGGAAATTTTTGATTGACGAGCTTGTGGAAAGCGAAAGAAACAACCAGCGTGTCTGGATCTTGGCTCATATCCCAGCAGGAGACTACGACACCTTGCCAATACAATCCAACATCTTTGCTAAGATTGTGGAGAGGTTCTCACCGTACACGATCGCCAGCATCTTCTACGGCCACACACACAGAGACCAGTTCAAAATCTTACATTCAGAAGAACAGGTGCCTATCAACATGGCCTGGATTTCTCAAGCAATCACGCCTTTGGGTCCAGCCAACCCTTCTTGGAGATACTACGAGGTTGAAGATGAATCATTTAACATCATCAATGCCTACAATTATTATAGTCCTCTCAATGAGACGTGGGTGAATGGCCCTCAAGAACCTAAGTGGGAGTTTGAGTATTCCCCTCGCGCTGCGTATGACCCTGAAAACGAGTGGCCAGCATCTGCTCCTTTGAATGCGACGTTTTGGGACGAATTTGTGCTCAAGAAGCTTGCAAACCTGCTGGATGTCAGCTTCCACCAGAAGTACACTGATTATTTGTACCGGATCAACCCGTACGTTCCAGACTGCAAGAACGGATCTTTGGTGACAGGTGACTGCTATGAGGACAATTACTGCTACAACTTGGCATTCGTTGTTGACGACTATGACAAGTGTGTGAATGCACAGTAGCTGAGGACTTATGATGACGCTCTTCGTGCATAAGAAGTTGTTCCAGCACTGTATTGAGTGGATGCATATCTTGTTTATTAGACGTATGTTTTGAATTACTGTGCAAATCAGTCAGCGTGCAAGAGGCCTGGACTGTCAAATGTGACCTTTGGAGCCTAGTAATAATAGATGACGCACTGAGTAACAATGCATGAATATACCAGGGCATATGAAAGCGAGTGCCCTAGAACGTCGCAGGTCAGACTTTTCATGTTGGCACCAGAACAAATGAATAATGTCGGGGAGATGGTGCATCAAATCCGTGTTTCTTGGCTTTCATAACAATGTCGAGAGGTCTTCATGGCATCCCCAATCTCAAGGGCATGGTCATCGAGAGATTTGTGAAATTAGCTTCGGAAGTCCCCCAAATACTACTGCAACAAAAAGACGATTTTAGGTTATATAAGAGATAATATACAGCGATAGAGGACGGTTTCGGCCCACAAACTTTGATAGGACCGCGACGGCCGAAACAGGTGGAGTAAAACAAGCGCCTTGAGTGTTTCTTAATAACCAGTGAAAAAATTCGAGCAAGCCATACCAATAAGCAGTGGATGCAACCAAACTGAAGATACCAGTGGAGCCATTCTAGAACGTGGCTCTCTAATTGATCCCCGGAACATGCTTGTGATGCGATGTATGACGTCATGCGATTGATGAAGCGGACATCAAACAGTGAAGCCGGCAATATGCGAGCAGTGTATAATACGAGGTCCCACAGCACCATGTCTGTATGAAGCCGCCAGCAAAAGACAGACGCTGCGGGCCTAGTGGCCCCGGCATAGCGTACAAGCCACAACGTCTCTGATGGTGTCTATCTGCGAATTGATGCGAATTGCGAAATTGGGGTAATTAATTCCACACACAGGCGCGGCACGGCTCCAAAAGACCAGTTCACAAGGGCAAGGGCCAGATCATATCAGCTGGCCCTTCTTCCCACACATTGCCTGTGGCCAGGGCCGGGTCTCGGGAGGCACGCCCCAAACGGCAAAAAGCTGGAGCCGGCAGTTCAGGCAACACGAGCCCGGCCCTGTGCGCACGGCATTTTCGCGCGGCTGGTTCCCGGCCCCGCTCAGCCATTGAACGGGGCCCGGTAAATACACCCGTTTTCTTCCAAAACAGCGGCTTTTTTGGAACGCTTCTCTCTTTTCGGCCCAGAACAAGCAGGTTTCACCAAGCCAGCAGCTGCCTGGAAAGCCGCGTGTCCCGAGTCCCGTGGCTGTTTCCCTAATTAGCGGTGCGCCCGGTTGCCAGTTTGGCCCCAGCCAGAATCAGGGCCCGCGCAGATCTGCCACCGGCCCCGCGATTCACCAGAAGACCGGCGGCAGGCAGGAAGACAACAGAGCCGACAAGGGCCACCTAGGGCAGACAGAAAGATACAAGAGACACCAACAAGTCACAACACAAACGTAAAACACAAAAGTAAAACACAAAAGAACACAAAAGAAAAACAAAAGGAAACAAGCGAAAAAACCCAAAGAAAAAAGAAAAAAAAAAAACAAAGAGAAAGGGAAAAAAGACGAAGCTCCAAAAGATCCAGCACGCACACAGAACCAGCCTTGGGTATAAAAGCCCCGGCCGCTCGCTCTCTTTTCGCCCACCCCGCGCGCCACGGCGTCGCCCCAACAGCCTCGTTTTTTCCCCGGCCCGGCCCCAGGCCCCAGGCCCCAGGCCGCGCCAGCCTGCACATCCCACCGGGCCCTACGATGACGTCTTCCCCAGAATCCCACCTCCACCAGTACTCCCCATTGCTCCTGGCCCCCCTTTCTGCCAGCCCGTCAAGTGCACAAAAAAACCCCCGCCTCGTCCCCTGCTTCTGCCTGTCCCCGCCGCGGCCGCCCCTTCTCCTGCCGCCACCGCCCCTGTCCTGCGTGTGTGCACGTGTCCCGTTTTCTGCGTACATGGGCCATACAGCGCTGAAAAGCCCCGGGCTTCCCGGCTCGCCGCCGCTCACGCCGCAGCTGTCGGCGCCCGGCACGGCGCGGCGCCTGGCGCCCGTGCTCCCGTCCATTGTCACGGTGCTCAACAGCAAAACCGCGGCCTCGTGGCGCGCGTCCAAAGAGGCGTTTTCACCGGCCAACGCCGGCGGGCTCTTTTTGCTGCCCGTGCTCTCCCAGGAGTCGGAGGCGTCGCAGAAGTCGCGGCTCTCCGCGTCGTCCGTCACGGCAAACTTCACCTTGGTGGACCCGCTGGTGGACGCCACCGCCGCGGACAACTTCTCGCCGCTCTTGCTGCTTCCCATCGAGATCTTGTACCAGATCATCGAGACCGTGTACTACGACGAGTCCACCAACTCCATCTCCGCCAACTTGGAGCGGTTCCTGAAAACCATCCCGGTGTTGCTGAAGCCGTTCAACCAGCTCGCCATCCGCTTCCTCTACAAGTACGCGATCTTCAATCGCCCCAACTCCTTCGAGCGCTTTCTCCTGAACATTGCCGGCCTGCCGGATATCGGCCACTACGTCGAGTTCATGGACTTCCAGACCTTCACGCTGATCGGGCTCGGCCGCACCGGCAGGATGAACCAGGAGATCCAGATGGTCACGGCCAGCACCATCCACCTAGCGCTCAGCTTGTGCCCGAACCTCGTCGAGTTCCAGGCCTCGGAAAACATCCAGGACGACATGGACGCCGCGGTCTTGCGCACGCTTTTCCACGGCTTGCCCAAGATCCAGGCGCTCGACTTCTGCGGCGCCTCGCTGAAGCTGTTTGCCTTGGCGTTTGACGAGCTCACCATCGACGCGGACTCCGTCGACCCAGACGTGTGTCTGGAGGCCTCGGCAACGCCGTCCTCGCTCCGCCACTTGTTCAAGCTATCGTTTCACGACTGCTCCAACCTCCCCGTGCGGGTCTTTGAGAAGTTGCTTCCGCACTTGGGCCACTTGCGCAGACTCGACTTGACGCACACGGCCATCACGTCCCCGGCTCTTTTGACCAGCTTGCCGCACACCTGCCGCTTGACGCACTTGTCCTTGGCCCGCTGCCTGAAGCTCACAACAAAGGACTTGATCCAGTTCCTCACCAAACACCCGGCCGTGGCCACCGACTCTCTCCAGTGGCTCAATCTCCAGATCGACTCCAACGTGGTCAGCCCGTTGACGGACCAGTACCTCCTCTTTATCCTCAACAACCTCCAGGCGGCTGACTTGCGCTACCTCAACTTGGGCGGGCTACCTGTGAACAAACATGCCTTGCACGTCATCAAAAACAGGTTTCCCAATCTAGAGAGCTTGGCCATTTCCCACGCCAACATCGAGTACACCGACTTGCTAGCCCTCCTCGAAGATAACTCCTCCATCAAGTTCCTCGATCTCACAAGCTGTAAGGGCATGGACAGACGGGCTGTGTTGTCGTTTCTCAAGCGCAGCTTCGAGTCGGGACTCGCAGCCATAGAGTTCGACTATAAGACCCTCTATGACTTGACAGGCGGCCAGCATGTCACGGTGCAGCCTTTGCAAACCGATTTCTCCATCAACAACACTACGCACTTGCCGCTGGTGTGGAAGTTCTACGACAACGAAGGCAGACGAGCATGGATCTACAAAGTCGACTCGTCGGACCCATCGTTCGACTCTTTGGTCTCTGGAAGATCGGGTTCCAGCGGCCAGTCGTCAAATATGGTCTACTACGACTTGGAGACGGGGGCGAAGATGGAAACAAAAATAACAAAACCCAAGTTCCTTATCTACGCGTCGCGGAAGATCAACTGCTCCATCGGGTACTACAATCTCAACAAGACGAAGAAGAAGAAGTACTTCACTGGTGAGATTCCAGAGTCGGTGTGGCCCGTTGAGTTCAGCCAGCGGGGGATTTACAATTACTACTCCCTCAACGTAAAGTAGGTGCTTTGTTTCTGCCGGAATTAGTGAGTGAAGGTGCCTTTTGAGCATTGTCATCAATCTCGGTAGGCTTGGCCTGATATTGTCACATCCGTGGGGGAATCAACCGGTCCGCTCTTATCACAATACTGTACCAGTTTGGTATCTTTGGTGGTAAATTTAGACAAAAAAAAAACAGAAAAATAAGTTTCCCTCTGCTATAGCTCTAATATAGGTTATACATGGCCTGCGTCTAACCTCCAATATGTGGGGTAAACGCGACTACTATACCGTGTATTTAGCCTCGGCAACTCGGCACTCGCAATCTCCTACAGCTGCTCATTGTTGCTGCGGATTGCTTTCTTCTTGGTTAGGAGTATAAATTCCAAACAATACCTCAAAACACCGTGGAAATCTTGTGAAACTAATATGTCTGAGTTTACTGAGATCAGAAACCCGATCGATGTCCAAGCGCTTTCGGCGTACTTAGCCAATGTGCCAGCCTCGGCTATCCGGGGTCTCGACGTTCCACCATTTTTCGGTCCTTTCGATATAAAGCAATTTACTTTTGGGCAGTCCAATCCAACATACTTGGTTGTAGATGGTTCGGGCTCAAAATACGTGTTGCGCCGGAAACCCATGCCTAATTCCAAGCTAGTCTCGAAATCAGCGCACGCGATTGAGCGGGAGTTTTTCTTGTTGAAGGGCATTGAAAACTGCAACCAGAGAGCAGATCCAGGTAAAAAAGTCCCCGTGCCAAAAGTGTACTTTCTTTGCGAGGACGAATCGGTGTTGGGCGTGGTATTCTACGTCATGGAATATGTGCAAGGAAGGTCTTTCAAGGAGCCCGATATGCGAGAAGTCCCAGCCGCCAGGCAGTCTGAGTACTGGGATTCCATCATGAAAACGATTAGTGCCATACATTCTGTAGATTGCTCCGAACTTGTGAAACAGCTCCCAGCGAAGCACTTTCCCCAATTCCAGCCAGATCAGCTTGAGCGGGCGAACAAAAACGGCGCAACGTACTTCCAAAGACAGATCCGAACTCTTGGTGCAGTCGAGAAATCCCAGTCAAAAACCGTGGATAGTATTCCTGGGTTTTCTCGGCTTACACAATGGGTCTTGGACCATTCCCCAAGGGACCCAGACCACATGACGTTGGTACACGGTGACTGCAAAATAGACAACTTTCTTTTCCATGGCGAGAAGCCCGAAGTCGCAGCCGTGCTAGATTGGGAATTGTGTACTATGGGGCATCCAATATTTGACTTGGCAAATTTTCTCCAGCCGTACACGTTCCCGAAAAGCCTAAACAAGGCCATTCTGCAGACCGCGTCCATTGGTATCGAGGATCCAACTAGCGCTCAGCACGTGCAGACCGTCTTGAGCTTGTACGAAAAATTCCTTGGGCACAAATGGCGGGAAAACGACCCGAGGAATAATCCACACGACTTGTGGAAGTTAGGGACTGTCTTTGGCCTCTTACGTCTTTGCGTGATATCTCAGGGTGTGGCCATGCGGGTAAAACGGGGAACGGCCAGCTCTGCATCTGCAAAGGCTGTAGCGGAACTTTACAAGACTTTGAGTGAGTTGGCGTTGAGCTTCATAGAAGAAGACTACAAATTGTGAGTCGAATATATGACGTATATGCTTCGCACGGAGGAGCGGGCCAGATCTTGAATTGTCCCAGTGGGAATACAGGTTTATAAACGATACTAGTGATTCAGGCATTGACGGAGGGAATTTCTTCTGGCAATACAAAAATATGGGCTCTCGTGTTGACGTGCCTTTTTTCTTCGCTTTGGGGGCCAATTTTTTTGTGTTCGCTAGATAAACGTTACTTCAGAGCGGTTGGTGGGAGAATTTGATTGCGGCATGGTAGAAATTTCAATTCAAATGCAAGGAAATTTAAAAGTGAAACATTGTCAGTAACAAGCAGAACAGAGCAAGCATTCTCAGCCTCCGAATGCCCATCATACGCGTTAATAGTATTCTTTATGGCTGTTCATACGTATCTTGTCATATAAAGTGCGACATTTCCCTGCATCTTCGGCCAGCAATGACATTCGAAAACAGCTTTGATAAACCAGTCAAGCATCAACTACACCTGACCAACTCATATAACTAAACAATGAATCTCAAGCTGTTCGAGGAAGTAAGCCCTGGGCTCCTGAGGGCCATTCTCAGATGCCCGTTCACAGGGTGTCATACCCGGATAATCCCTTTAACCTCGCAACTAGCAGCTACTAAGGTCAAAATAGAAAACGCACCGCAAATGACTGTCGACTCAGAGTATTTTTACGCTGTTGGCGATGCATGGGACTTTGACAATATTGGGGTTTCACGGCCTTCTCCAGATCTTGAGGGGAAAAATGTGGCGCCTTTAGCTAAAGTTGAGCGTTTGTTGATTTGTAGTGAATGTGACAAAGGTCCTTTGGGATTTGCCGGGTTCATTGCCGAGGGCGAATCTGACGTGAAGAAGCTCACATATTATTTGTCGTGTGAGTCCGTCAAATTTGATGAGACTACGTGATACATAGGGGAGAATTTCCTTTTGGACTCACAGATCCAATGATACCGTTATAAGATTAACTGACTTGAGGAAGCATGATTTAAGGATGAAAAACCTCTTATGCCAGTTTTCTTTCACGAAATTGACGAAATTGATCCTGATTATGCTGACAAATCGCTTGATCGGCACAAATGAGCTTTGTTGCACCCATGTGTTCTTTTTGATCTCAAATTGCTACTATAACCACTATTGGAAGTACAGTTGGGAATACAGTCAAAAGTGAAAAGTCAGTTCATACCCGAGTTGATCGTGAATCATACCACTTTGCTTGGGTATCTCAACTAAATACATCAAATTAAAGTCTGGATGCCGGTTTCAAATCGCGGCAAATTTCCTTTGCAATGTGTCTTGATAAAGCCATGGTAGAAACCATCGGATTGGCCCCGGATGCGGTTGGCATGACGCTGGCATCTGCAACGTAAACATTGTCGCACTCATACAAGCGACCTTTTATATCGCATGCCCCATCACTGGGTCCTAGACCACTCATGCGACATGTGCTCATTTGATGAGCAGATCCATACCCACAGCCATAGACAGACAACTCAAGCGCAGCACAGTGCTTGCGGAATTTCTGATAATCTGGATCAGAAATTGCACGATTACCCTTGGGCGTAGTACTTATAAAGTTACCCCCTCTGAAGTAGGGATGAACTATCTCAGTAGCGCCCTCTATGTAGGCCACATCCATCGTGACCAAGATTGCTTTGGCCATGTTGTGTCGGTCAAACTTGTTGATGGCATAATCAATGACGAGTGTGTCTGGCTTATATGGATCGAAACTGACTGTGCCCGACAGTGTATCTCTAGTCAAGACAATAAAAGCAGAAGTCAGCTGGTATCTGAGCATATCCCTTCTAGTTTTTTCCGAGGACAGCCATGGCATAAAAGCTGTCTCGATGAATGGAGTGTGGAGCAAAGTCTCGATTTTAGCCCCGTGAGCATCTCCGTCCAAATCCTCGGCTTCAATACAAACTGTAGTCATAATTGAATTATGATGAGGATCACTCTTAGTTTTGTCCCAGAACGCAAAAACAGTGGTAACGGGGTGAAGCTTTAAGTTTCTTCCAATGTGCTTATTGCGAAACCCAGATTTCTGGAGAAGCACGGGTGTTTGCAATGACCCACCACTCAAAACATATTTCTTCGGCCCCCGAATGGTGAACTTGAAGCCGTTTCTTATATTGACACACTCGATTCCGGCGGCAACATTTTTTCCATTTTTTATGATCTTTTTAACCACAACTTGGTCCATGAATTCTGTGCCATTCGCAGCCGCATCGCGGAGCCAGTTTACCATTGAGCCTTGCTTCACGCCCCATTTACAGCCCAAATGGCAAAATCCACACGAGTGGCTCTTGTGAGTGCCGATGTTTTGTCTAATCTCCTTCACCTTGTAGCCTAATTTTGCACAACCGTCAAGAAGGATTTGGTTCGACTTGGAATGGGTGATATGGTCTTTGGATGCACCCATTTGTTTCAAAACATAATCAAGGTCAGAATCATATTCTTCGGTAGCCACAAAATTAAGTCCATGCTTCTTGTGCCACTCGCTACGCACTTTGAAGGGAGTTTCCAAACATGCAGACCAATTTACTGTGGTGCCTCCGCCAAAAGTGGCGCCAGCCAAAATAATCATCTGCGAATTTTCAGTGGAGAGCATCCCGCCATTTTCATATAGGGACTTATAGCCTTGAGCATCATCAAAATTTAATTCTGATGGTTTGAAGTATCTACCTTTTTCAAGCACAAGACACTTGTGGCCATCACGTGCCAACGTATGTGCCACAACGCCTGCACCTGCCCCAGACCCAATAATAACAGCATCGAATTCAGGTAAGTAAAGCTCCGCGTTATTACTTTCAGGTGGCATTTTCATCGTGTATTCAAAAGGGTCATGGGCGTACCCGTCATATATCTCATCACGTGACTCCCGCCGGGGGAAGTCCATTGCCTGAAAGTGAATATCGGGGGCATGCCCGGTAAACGACAGCACAGCAAGCCGGCAGAAAAGACTGAATAGCATGTTTTTCATCTCAAGGGGAGAGTCGCGCCACGAGAGAAGCAATTGCCGTTTTTCCTCGTCGTCCATCTCTGTGATGAGTTTTGTACTGTTGGTAAGAGCAGGCGAAAAGATTCGCAGAGATAGGATCTTCATTGCGATATTGAAAGACCGCACCGAGCTGGTAGACTGGCTGGCTATTACCAGGCGTAAATAAGGGCGTATCTCGGGGATCTGGGAAGGCCGTGTTACAGCTTTCACATAGTCTGTGAGTTTGGCCTCTCCAAATTCGTCGCTCACATGGGACCGCAAATTCTCGACTGACGTCTCATGGATAAAACCATCAGCAATAGAGAGAAGAATATCTAAGTGTGATTCCTGGACTTCAGAAGGAAAGATGTGCATAGCTCCTGTCAAATTTTCTTCCTCTTTTTACCGGTTCGTGAAGATTTTGATAAAAAAATTAGAACAGCGCTGCCTTGGCGAGGAAAGTAACTCTATTATATATGCGCCTTAGAGTAATTTTACCGAGACAGGAAAAAAGCTGAGGTTTGATGGCTAAATAGGAGAGGAAAGTTCGGGGGTTTGGGACGACATTATCTCGCAAGTGCTCGACTGCAATTAGCTCTGATCAACGAGCTTTCGCCACACGTAGCTTGATTTCGAGCAATTCAGCTTAGCGCAAAATAAGTTATCCCTTTTCTAATTAAAAATACTAATGGCTCCTGTCTGCTGCGGCTACATGACCTTCCCGGTCCTGTTTTGTACAATACCCCACACTCTTCGCCAGAAGTCTAAAACGTGAGCATGCTATATGCAAATATGCAATTACGAATGTACAGGCAAATAGCGGGGTATTGACGTATGTCTAGACCTGCCATGAGAGTGCTCCACAATAGAACTGTACTTGAGATACTCGACTGTGGCTTCGAAATAATGTATGTAAAGCAAATCATTTGAAAGAGCTGACTTGACTTTTACAGTGCTCCCATATTTTTGCAAACGTGAACTAAGATTGTGCGCAACTCGCATGCAGGCTATTCTAAAGCCTTTCCCGTGAAGTACCTTGATATGCCAAACAAATATATGACTGAAGTCTCTTCTTAGAAAGACAAATATACTTTTTCTCGAGACATATCACAAACTTGATGTATTTGAGAGTTTTGCTTTTTACAAGATTCTGGTAGTTTGCATGGGCTGGTCAACTTCGCCGAATGTGAACCAGTGCGTGAGGAGGTTTTAATTTTTCAGCAACATTGTAGAATAAAAATAACCGGACGTTGCCGTGCAGTCCGTTCCCTAAGATAAATCAGTTCCTAGGACCTGTGATTATGCGGGTAAAGAGCTAGCTATATTTTGGTTGAAAATTTTATTTATTGTGCTGATATCCTCACAAAGTTCTTTCCACATTTTTTATGTCAAGCGAAAGCATCTAAAACAGTGCCAATGTGTCAGGTGTTGAGGTGAGAGAGACTAAGTACCAAAATGCTTTGTTCTGGCTTTATGTATTAGTTCTCGTTGTCTTTATTAATGACTATTAAATTTTCAATCTGTTTACTCAGACCCGATTACCTGCTTCTAATAGCGTGAGAAAGAAAACCAAAAGATGAATTATATAAACCAGCTGAGGCATGATTATGACTTGATAAGTCTCTCGTGTTGCCCAAGGTTGAATTTTTGTGCTGCAAACTGATTTATTAGCAGGATGCTTTTTCTTTCTTTTTCTGTCCCAGTTTAGTTTTGAGCTTTTCATACAAAGCTTTAGAGGGCCTTTGAGCAAACATTGCACAACTTTCAATTGAGCGGTAAGCTTGTACCTAGCTCAAGAGAGTCGTGAAGGTTTTAGGGTCTTTCAAAAGACTGAGTATTTCCAGTTTTGTCGAAAGCAATTTAAAGATCCTTGATCAAATTCAGGGTGCTATATGACATATGATTACGAGAAATACAAAGTATTAAGTTTTGATACATACAGTGAAGAGAGTATTAGAACGATGCGAGAGATATGGAAGCTGAATAATTTTATAACTTTGAGGTGTATACTATAGACAAAACAGAAAGAGGCAGTATTAGAAAAAAAATCTGGGATCCAAATATTGACTCGTGTTTTGATGAATGCATATCTGATCTCTGCACTAATTATTTTCGCACCGTATCTAATGTGCATAGAATCGTGCAAGTCAATTCGATTGAGTTGGTTATTTTTTTTGTTTGGTACCATCTAGTGTGATGAAACAAAGCTATTTTGAAATACTGATATTGGACTTTAGTAGAAGCTGAGCTCAAGTTTTTTGTCCCCCAAATTAAAAGTCTGAGTCAGCAAAAACGCGCAAATTCTTAGCATGCTTAATAATCATCTCATCATAAAATGCCAGATTCATCATTGAGGTGGATTTTAGCTAGGGGAAATATTTTTCTATGAGCCAATGAAGCTTAAGACTTTTTTTTATTTTTCTTAGTAAGCAATTGAAAGTTTTGTAAGCCAGATACATGTACCAGGGTAAGTACGTGCGGGGTATTCCAATATATAAGTTCGATTGTATTCCACTAGATTGTCGATGTTCTATTAAGCATACAGAAAATCAATCAAGAATTTTTAATCGCAAAAAAATCTCCTTCAAAATGGTATCTCGGATTATTCTCCAAACTCCCCCAGCCGAAGAAATGAACTTGTCTTGGGGCCAGAAGGACTCGACTTTCAAATTGGTCAATACCGGACTTCCAGCAGTCCAAGAAGGCGAGTTGAGAGTCAAAGTTTTGTATTTTTCAAATGACCCCACTCAAAGATTATGGATTTCTGCTGGCCAAGACCCCAAGAGACAATATATGCCTCCGGTATTTAAGGGTGAAGCAATCAGAACATTGGGTTTGGGTGAGGTACTCGAGTCGAAGTCTGCTAAATATGCAAGTGGTGATGTTATTACTGGTGTATTCCACTGGGGTGACGAGCTCATTATTCCGGAGGCGAATGTTAGTGCCAAAGTTGACAAGTAACTTCCTTATGAATGGTACTTATCAGCTATTGGCTTAACTGGATTGACTGCCTACTTTGGTTTGCAGAAAATTGGTCAATTCAAAGAAGGTCAGTCTGTTCTTGTCTCTGCTGCTTTTGGTGCCACAGGCTCCATGGTCGTTCAGCTCGCCAAACACCTTTTTAAGGCATCCAAGGTTGTTGGTATTACCGGCTCTGATGACAAATGCAAATGGGTTGAGTCTTTAGGTGCTGATCTCTGTGTCAACTACAGAGACACAGGCTACAAGAAGAAGATTGATGAATTTATGGCCGACGAAAACTTCGATGTCTATTTCGACAATGTTGGCGGAGACATGTTGGACTATGCATTGACACGTACCAAAAGATATGGACGTATCATTGCTTGCGGTGCTATTTCCGGATACAATGACAAGTCAAAGATGAGCGTTACTTCCTGGGGTGAAATCACAAGCAACCGTTTGACTGTACAGGGCTTTATTGCCTTCGACTTCTTCACAGACTTCCCTGAAGCGATCAAAGAAATTGTTGCCGTCATCAAGAGTGGAAAGGTGAAAGTGAACGAAGGTGTTCACATCGAGGATGTTTCCAAATTTGAAAATCCTTTTGAGAGAGTTCCTGAGGTATGGAACAAGTTGTTCACCGAGGAAAAGCCAAGAGGAAAGTTATTAACTAAATTGGTCTAGACCTACACTTCTGGGTCCGGTATTTTTCTAAATGAATTCAAATTCTGGATTTTTTTCATTATGCATACGTGTAAAATGAATAATAACACATCTTTTGATACTGCTCGCCAAGAAAAGGCGAAATGTCAGACATGAAACCAAGTTTGAAAAAAAAAATATATATATACATAATATTGAACCCGAAGTCATTGGCCCGAGGGCAATTTTCAGGCCATAGACTTGTATCAACTATTATAATTTCTTTACTCTATAGCAAACGACTCACGTGTTCACGGTCTTAGCGGGAAGCAGCTTTGGCATACATTGTAGTTTTCCCAAGTGTATTTGGTAACTAATGACGCAGAATGCTGATACAAATCTGAAGACATATCTTGAGACAGCCGAATAAAATAATGTATAAAGTTAGCAAAAGAGGCATGCAGTTGACAACCTTAGGCTGTGTGAAAATTTATATTCTACGTACAGTGTAAATCACGTCTATGCATTAAATACATTCATTGGGATTCTTAAAAGTGAGAAGTCACACCAAGACACGCCAGAAAACTAACAGCCGTCGAAATTGAGCCAAAATCCAATTTTAATGGGCTGAGTCTTACGCAGTTAATAGTACACACGCGTATTGAACTGAGAACATCACAAAAAATGCTTGAACAATATACGTTTAGCCGCACTGCTTTAATTAGGGTGCATATAGCTACGCCGCACTGGTCTACAGAATGACGCCCAGTGAAATTCGTCCGGAGTACATGGCCGAATATAAAAGATTTTGGGAATTAAATTAATGGCGCACCTCAAGACCTCTGAGTTCCCTCGTAGTATCTGAGTCATCATAAATGGAGAAGAATAGTCTGCATCCAGTCCTTTCAAATTCCATATTAGGAAGCGGTAGACAATTTGACGGCATTGGCATTTCAATCGTTACAAAATGTCTCACTGAGCGCAGTGAAATTCTCCAGGGCGGATATAGGTGCATTCTGTGGCGCAATTGACCATGTAATTACTAATTACAACGGTGGTTTGCAATGAACATCAAGAGGCATCCAAAATTCAATTTCCAACATTCTTATCAGAAGTAAATGAAGCTACCAAACACGATTTTAAAGGAAGCCGCTGGCATGTCCAGGAACATGAAGTTGCAATCACCGGAAGTTCAATCAAATTCGGTTGTCACGTGATCCAAGGTCGCACATGCAAGCTCTACCCAATATGCTCTCAACAAATAAACATAGTTACCCATCTAACCAGCTTGTGTTTCGCCGACAAAGCTAGCACACAGGCTCTGCCTCCATAGTACGCTTTGATGCATATATATAACTGCTCCTTTTGCCCAAATCATAAAGCAGCGGCCAAGGTGATTCTCTGATGGAATCATTGACTGCCTATTCGTCAGACGACTCATCGCTCGACTCGGGTCACGTGCGCGGCATCTCGCCATCTTCGTTGGATAAACCAAACTCTGAAAATCATAACGAAAGCACACAGAACGACGATAGTTGTGATTTCCCCGATAAACTAACAGACCTGTATCACAGGCAAGGTTTGGAAGCGCCAATAATCTTATACCTGCAGGAATACAGCATGAATGCCAAGCGTCAAATCACCGCATTTGCATACTTGCCCTGGCAACCTTCAAGAGAAGTCAAGACCAGGCTTCGGGCTGCCAGTGATAAGGCCATACACGTCATAAGAGAAAAAGTGGTAAATTTTGATAAAAGGTTTGCTCACAACTCGGTTGTCGCGGCCAAATCTGTAGCGCACGGAGTATTTGGTCATACCAACAAGAGGTCACTTACAGATCTCCATGTCTCTCTCTTCCCGAACATTTCGTTACCCCAAAACAAACTCAAACCGTTTCTTACTCACGTGCAAAGGGCAGTAAAACCCCTTCAGGTGCCGTCAGAAATCTTGGCCACTCAACAGTTGAGTGCGTTGGATCGGATGCTTTCTGAAGGAAAAGCCACCGGAAAAAAACTTTTACGGCTTCAGTTGGACAGCAGGTTGCATTTGTACAAACTGACAAAATCAGGCTCAATATTTGTAGGCATAGGGTTGTCGAAGTACGCGGACGAAAAACGTGAGCAACTTTTGCCGCAGTTCAAGTATTTGACCCAGATTTCCGGTGCCATCGAGAACGAGGCCAAGTTGTTGAACTTCGACTATAACTGGATGCAGTTCTCTTTGAGCAAAAGTGATCACGCTCGCGAGTTACTATCATTATATTACCATTTTACGTTGGTGATCTGTGAGTTGCATCCACGCGGTCAACGCATGACAGAAGCTGAGTTTGAGCAGACCAAACAATGGTTGAATGAAGTCGATGTATCGACGTATCTCGAAAACATGTACTTTGAGGCTGATCACTTTGTGGTGAGCTCGGGAGATTTGTCAAAGAAAGTTGATCTCTTTTGATTCAAAGAGGCGCGCACGTTGGTTATAACTCCTGGGCCACTGAGGACTGGAATAGGTAACCTCGTGAATCTTGATAAAAAGCATTCTCGTTGACGCTTTTTCATCCATACTGAGTGAAAATCTAAAAGTGTGGACGAGGGTATGACGTCGCCAAAAGCTTGTCCCGAGAGAAGGACCGTGGTACGTTTCGACTCGCTCGCATATAACTGACCGGACGGGCCAAAACGTATTCGTCATATCGCAAATATTTAAAAAAACTACCACCTGTAAAACATAATCACAAGGTATTCTAGAGAAGTATATTGTAAAGGGTGTTCCTATGGTGACAAACGCAACAGCTCCAGGATCATTTATAAGCTGCAGACAGACACGACATCAAGATAGAACTATATTTCTGATTGCATGATAGTTGGGCTGTCTTTGATATCCGAAATTGATGTTGTCTTTAATATTCAAAATTGATGATGTCCTCTAAGAAAAGACCGGAACACAGCTCTGAAAACAAGATGCATGTTCTTAATTTCACATGCATAACTAAATTCTTAATGAGAGTTCCTTAACACTTGAAGTAACTTGCACTATAGTGCTGTGATAATTTGGGTTGATCGTGTGACAGGTTCAGAAACTGTAATACATATGATGAGCGGTCTCATGGTTGGATTTGGCAAGCAGCCAAACCTTTAGTGAGAAAAACACCAGTCTTTAACCAGCATAGTTCCATGGGTTTCAGCTCCAGGTTAGCAAGAGTACTGATGATGTGGCTTCTGACTTTTCTCTATTTCGGCAGCTCATAAACAGTAGTTTGGCCAGATGTATAAAAAAGGTTGTATAACTTTAACAATTGTGAGCTACTGTGTCAGCGGGTTCGGGCATGTTTCAGATGTTCAAAACTCAGAATGCTCAGCAGTATCTGATGTAAATGGAGACGGGAATTAGTAGCTTCATGGACATCATCCGTAGCTTCTTGAAGACAAAGCAGTTTCTCATTTACAGAAGACAATTTTTGAATGCATTCTCTTTTGCCATCATGTTTACTCGAGGTGTTCATTTTGGTTCATGCAAGTGACTTTCGTTGTAAAGATAACACATTTCAAGCGCAGTGATATCTGATAAGGAAGTATGAGTTTAAATGTTATATCCCTCCTGTCTGCAACGGAGGTTTATGTGACGATACTAAATGAGGAAAAATCTCAATTTCAGAGACAATTCTTTTACAAAAAGGCTTGTTTGCAAACTACTTTTTCTAGTATTATTTCTGTCTTGCGCTGTTAACCAGAGAAGCAGTATAAGTTGTATAAAAGGGACAAGACAGGAGTTAAGAAAACAGATTAACAGAGGCGTGCTTACATGGGGGACTGACAGGGAGACACTGGAATTGTGATGAAGTGGAATGGTGATGTAGTGTGACGTGGTGAAATGAGGATATGGCATTTGGTCATATGGTGACATGCATGTAGTGAAACGAGGTTATAGTTATATGAATGGAATTAGGGACTAGGTGATATGGAAATTAAGGGTAAACATGAGACAGATTATCCCATGAATTTGACGTAATGCAGAACCAGAGAAACCACAAGTGACGGCATGCAAGAACGCATCAACGAAACAGAGTACTTGAGAAGTGGAGAACGAGAAAACAGATTTGAGGAGCCCAAGAGGGCGAAAAGGAAAATAAACCCAAACGCCCGAGCAGCTACAGAAATTCAAGCGCAGCAAGCCAAACAAGAAACACACCACAGAGTATTTGGATCCCTGTCCGGCATCCATTTCCTAGACACTGGATTTAGATACCGGCCTTTGACAACTCCAGTGCGGCCCGGAACTGAAAGCGTTGCAGACCTGCAGACAGACAGGCCGCGCGCGACCAGCACGAGCCAACCTAACCGCTAACACCCTCTCTTTCCTTTGGATACACCCAAAGCTCAAACAAAGCACTCAAAAACACCCCAGAAAAACAGAAGCAAGGACCCAAAAATACCCTGAAACCCTCGAACACTCCAAAGCATCCCGCTATCTTCCTCTCCCCACACACATGTCCAAAAAAAGCCAGAAACACGCCGAGCGGCAAATCTTGGAGATCGTCAACGCCCGCGGCAACAGCAATAAGTGTGGAGAGTGTGGCGCCGACTACCCCACGTGGGCGCTGTGGAACCTCGGCATTTTGCTTTGTGGCCGCTGCGCCAGCGCACACCGCAAAGTGCTCAATGTGCCGGGCCCTCGTGGCACACAGGTATCGCAGGTCAAGTCGCTAGCGTTGGAAACTTGGAGCGAGGACCAGATCGACAGTTTGCGCCGGGGCGGCAACCGCCGGGCGCAGCACAAATGGAACCCGCAGAACGAGCCGTTCCCCTACGACGACGACGACAACGCGCCCATGGAGGCGTTTTTGCGCGACAAGTACATCCACGGGCGGTTCCGCCTGGGTGCGGCGGAAGACGCGGACGTGTACAGCCGGCACTCCGCGGGCAGTGGGCGGCTGACGCCCGCGGGCCGCTCGCGGCTGTCGTCCACAGCCGCCCGCCCGGCCGGGCCGCCCCGTGCGGGCGCCGCGTCTATGGAGAAGCTCTCGCACCGCAAGCCCACGAGCTACGAGCAGGCGCAGTTCCGGGCACAGGCCAGCAAGATCTCTGCGTTTGGGTACGCGGACCGGGACGCCATATTCGAGAGCCTTGCCTTGAGCAACGGCGACATCGAGCACGCGTTGGACATCTTGGACCACGACGCCAAGGTCAACCCGTCGCTGGCCGAGACGCCGCCCAGCTTGCCGAGAAGACCTGCTACGGCCCAGGCGCCGGCCGCGGAAACGCCTGCCACGTCTGCCGGCTCCGCCGCTTCCGAGTGGTGGGCAGGCCAGACGCGGCCGCTGCAGGTCACGGGCACTGCGTCTGTTGCGCCCCAAGCAGCCCAGCCCCAGATCTACCAGTACACGGACCCAGTGACGGGCCAGGTCCTGTACGTAGACGCCAACGGGCAGCAGTACCTCGACCCGGGCAACCCGCAGCACCAACAGCTCCTTGCGCAGCAGACGAGCCCGCAACACCTCGCGCAGCAGGCCACGAAGCAGAGCATTATGGCGCTCTACGGCCAGCCGGACCAGTATGCAACAAATGTTGCCGTGGCACAGCAACAGCAGCAGCAGCAGTACGCCGTGCAGCCTCAGCTCACCCAGCAGCAGCAGTTCGCTCAACATCCACAGCTCACTCAGCACCCGCAATTTAACCAGCACCCGCAATTTAACCAGCACCCGCAGTTTAGCCAGCAATCGCAGTTTACAGGTGCAGCTGGTACAGGGGGGCAGTCCTACCAAACGGCTCTGCAGCCCCAAATGCAAACAGGCACACAGCAGCAATACTGGACATAGACACATTGAAATGATGGCATGTTGCAGACTGCCCCGTCAGTCCGTTTTCATACGGCCCCCCTCCGATGTCTCGCCCAAGCAACGTTGACGTCAATGGTTTGTGCTGTCGCGCCATGAAAGTTTACGATTTTATGGTCGCCTTTGTTCGGGCGGCAATCGCATTTTCGACGCAACTTCTAAACAATTGGCTGGCTTGACGTGCCGAGTAGAGACGAAACGCGTTTCGACGGGCTGGCTTCATCAACTTGACCATATTAAACATTCAATTTTTCAGCATGCAAGCATCATTTTTTGTTTTCCATGTGGCTTTAAATTCAAGAAGTCATATACGGGCTAACCTCAATGAATAAGGGGAAGACTTGGATTTCTTCTCGTATATACCATCCGCTTTTACATGATTCGGCGCTTAAGATGTGTATCTCTTTTTAGTTCAGTCTTACGTATTTGGCGACCCATGTGGTATGCTTTTGCGGCTTTTTTGCGGTTGAGGATCGCTATATTTCACAGATTCTCAAGGAAACTGGCGAGCCAAGACGACTCATGTCTGGACCATTTTTTCTTCCCTCAATAAGAGGCTATAGATCTGCCGTACCAGTTCTCAGTATCCCGCCCGACTGTACTTTAGGTAGGTCAAGGCGTGCAAGAAGTACTATGGACAATGGTATAAAATTCTACAGCCAACCGAGAACCTAATACGACTTGGTAGCTCAATCAAGATGCGCCTTCCCGCTCAAAGCACCCTGGTGGATGACACGGGAGCTTGGAATCCTTGGTTAGGCTTGATAAAGATTACTTATACTTCACATGATATCATGTTTTTCGTCAAATAATATCATAAGCAATTTTAGAACAGCTTTCCATCGATTCGTTTGTCACTTGTTGTATCATGCTAGCAAAGGAAAGCTGATGTATTGTCTTTTTCGACAACTGGCTGCATTTGTATGGCTCTTTTTCAGCCCCTGTCATTGTACTCAACTAGAAGACTCTCATTTCCGACTATAGCCTAAATGTAAGGTCCTGTTATCGAGAACATTAAAGGTCCTGTAAGTGCATATATGGCTATATTCATTTCCTTTATTGCGAGTTTCGTCAGATATTATTTTGAACAACCCATAGAATATTCTTTCTGGAAATGAATTTCACGTGACCTTCAAGCAGCATATATGAGGTAGAATAAAACACCTGTAGAGTTCTAGCGAAATTATTGATCAACTAGTAATACAGAAACCATTAGGTCACGCGACGATCCCAAATTTACCAACTTGCATACTAAAGTGGGACAGACAAAAGAAGAAGGGAAAACACTGACACCTTGCATACTCTTCCCATTTGTTCTCTACTCACTCGCAGCCTCGACTGCTCGACTACATGCGTAAATTCCTTCTACTTAAATCGTTGATTTTGAACATTTGAAGCATGTATACATCACATATGTACGTTTACGAGGTCCAAGATCTTACATCTTCAACTGAACATTTTCCAAAATCTTATTTTGACCTCAAGTGCATTTTGACAACCAGAATCTGAAACAAAAACCTCAGTTTTTCTGAGACAAAATATTTCGTTTTCTTTGTGACTCAAATACCCATCTAGATCACCTTTAGAAACATCGACCAAAAAGTTTCTGTCTCTTCCTTGAGCCATCACAAGTCTTCCATTCGCATTCATGGTCAAATAAGCTTTTACAAGTCCGTTTTCTATGACATACGCCGATATTTCTTCACCTGCGTAAATAATTTTATCCAGCTTACTCAAAAAAAGTTTTAACTGAACACCTGTGACGGTCTCAATTGAGAAGTAGCCTCCTCCTAGTGATGCAAAGCTGCCAGATATCAAGGCAAGAAGCGCGATTGTGGAACAAAACTTCATTTTGCTGCTCAAAGTTCTTCTCTTGGTAAAGAACCACTAATTCAGAGAAACTTTCGCTACTTATATAGGTCCATCAATTTTGGTGTAGACGGTTTTATCGTCTAGTTCAAAGATTATCGCATGAATCTTTCTTGAAACGGAAAGTTTGTTAAAATATAACCGTCAATGCAATCACTTACATTCCTATTGTGGTCAGTTCCACGGATCACACTCTAAATCCAACAGTTTACAAGGTTTCGGAATGAATCTAAGCGTCAACTTGCAAAAAGAAACAGCTTTAAGCATGAGCGGGTTTTGTTATTAATCTGGCGCAAAATTTCGGGGAAGACGATCCGAAATACCTCCATCCTTGTGACGGTGGCCAAATATTTCAGCAAATATTCGTTTGAAATAAAATCCACATTGTCTTTTTATAGACTGATCATGCATATAAAAGACTAATGTAAAAATTTAGACGGGAAAGCCTGCGCAAAAGTGGAATTGCGATTTAGCCGAAAAAATGTGTGTATTCTAATTCAGAACGATTGAACTATAGTGTATTAGTGGTCAGAAAGGCATATTATATGTAAAAGTTGGTTTTAAACGATAGCTGATTTTGATAACTATCGTTATACGTTTCAGGATTCTAGGACTTGTGATTATGTATGCATGTTTTATGCGGTCTATAAAAAGATTTCACGGGAAAAAAGCTTCCTTATTTCATTGAAAGGTCAGACCACTACTTGTTAAAACAAAAAGCCGAGTATGTTGAAAAGTTCGGGACAGTTTATCCAACCTAAAAATGCAAGTGTTAGGGACCTCACGGGACATAAGGGTTCTGTATTACTATTGGGATACACATTCCCTCAAATAGCAGCAATCGCATCTCCCTTATAAATATGATCTGGGAGGCACGTGAAGGCAGCTGAAGAACTTGAAGGCAAATATTAAGAGTTATCCACAATATAACTTGACGGCACTCGCAAACAAATAATATTCGACAAAGCTCACAATAAGAAATTGCATATAGTCACATATGCACTCGTAGGAACTTAAGTGCTAAGCTGATACTTGGAGCCTAACAGTTCGCAAATCTATATTCCTATGCATGCTATAAAATCCCATACACGTACCGCAACACTTTTGCGTTTATGTCTTGCATGATTTACCTATCAAATACGTATCATTAGATTTTATGTATTCCATTTACTTGATTACATCAAAATATATACCAGTTTGATGGGTTGATGAGCTGATATTTCGGGAAGAGAAGGCAAGAAAACGCTCTTTGTCAATGCTAATATACTGCATATAATGTGGAATTTGTTTAGGTTCGCTGCAGCCCTAAGAGAATGTTTCGAAAACGCAGTATATTTATAGCATATAGCACAAAAAGTCACTAATTTATCTTTGTAAACGTCCAGTTCATAATCAAAAAGAGCAGTTGGCTTCCTTTGGTTGGTGAAAATTCTTCGCCCTCGGACTGGACGAGGATGTTATCACGTGACAGAGTATGTCGTCCGGTTAAATTTATTTTAGATGGGGTTTTTCCAAACCACCAAGAAGCATTTTAGAATTGACTGGAAGAGATTTTCCGAAAAAGTTTTCAAAGAAAATTTTAAGGTAATTTTTTGGTAAGAAGACTCTAGCTTCTTTCTGAAGAAATTCTGAATGGGAAGTCCGTACAAATTATAATGCGCTTCAAGGGACTAATAATGTCAGAATGTATTTTCCTTTGTTTCGAGCAAGACATAAGGGAGCATATGTGATAACAGCAAGAGCACACGCATGTATGTTTCAAGAAATTTCGGGCCAGATCACACTTCATTATAGTTCATACTCATGGTCAACCAATGGTTACACTGTTCAAATACGTGATATATTGGAGAGAAAGAATGGTATTTCACATGGGATCTCGCAGTAAATTTACCGATTTCCAAACTTATCTCAAGAGTGAGAATAATAAAAAATTTCCCTTTGAAATGCGGCTTGAAACAGATTAAAGAGCAAAATGAATACAAGACGATAGAAACTCTTTATAACGGCTAATCTAAAAAAACGTTGTATCATCTTGTGCACAATATGGACTCACGGAATAAAAAAGAGAATCTTGAAATGGCTGTACAAGCAAGCGCAAGATATAAACACGACTCCAAGATTGAATCTTTGTTCCTTTCTAATTGATCCCGACAAATATGAATTTGAAAGACTCTTAGAATTGTTTTCCGTGATCCAGGGGCTCCGCTCACGTGTCTTTCAGACAAAATATATGAAGAAAGTTGACTACCGTAGATCAGGAGATGTCAGTGATCAATAGCAATACCGATGCTGTGATGGGACGAAAACTCTCTCAATCAATCTTTCTCAAGGATATCACTCTGACAATAATTTTACATGAAGGCTTTCTGTAGGCGTTACTTAGAATTCATGATATTAGGCAATCTTTAAATGTTGTTTTCTTGTCTGTAGTGCTTTTTAGTACCCCACTCCAGGGCTAGAACTAATCTTTTCATCGTAAAAAACAGCTCATGAAGGTTTGGAATAGCTGCAAACACAAAACTCTAAGCACCAAGGGCATAATAGACAATCTGGACCTGCCGTGCTCCTTTGCAATTGCTTTTTTGTCTGATCACAAAATCTTCGCAAATTTCGAAGATATTTCCCTCAGAGCTCAAATAAAGATCTTTGCCATACTCAAGTTTAAATGTATTAAGAGTTGAATCAGTCGTGACGATCCTTCCTTTCTCATCAGCCTTGATATACAAGTTGTCTTTTTCATGCTTCACAAATCCATCATCCACTATAAACTCCGAAGCTTTCTTGTATGCAAATTCTGTTTCTTGGAAACATGTAAAAAAGCGGGAATGCGTCCATCGTTTCCACTAACAGGCCTGATGGAAAGGAAACCAGATCTGGCCGCTGCTCCGGCAAAGGTCAAAGTAATTGAGGCAATAGTGGTAAAAAATATTATTTTTTTGTGGTATTTGTATTTTGATGGAGTGATAGAAAGAGAAGAATTTACCCTTGTTTTGTACATTTTGTGTTTCTGCTATGGAGGAATGCTAACTATATCATCATCATCATCGTCATCATCACCATTATTGTCATTACGTGAGAGTTCTAAGGCTAAAACTGAGCAAACATTAGACAGAGAGCTTAAAAGCAGTAGCAGTAAACGTTTCGCTTGATGGTCACACTTAACGTTGCAATATTATTGTTCCCCGCTCCATTCGGGATTTATAAAAACCATGATGCCCCTTCTTGATTGTTCCAGTTTCCCAATACAACAGTGAAGCTTTGATCGTCTAAAACTTGTGTATCCTAAAAGTATATATGCTATTGTGCATGAAACAAACTTTAGTGCATGGATTCAAAAAATAAGCAATAGTTTTACCTGTAACAGAACCTTTGAGATTGAAATCGGAAGAGGCGGAAGAAAAAAACTTTGTATTTATGAACAATGAAGGCCACAAAAGCACGACTTGACTGTATTTATTCATCAGTAGAGAAACTTATACTTTATACTCAGAAACAATTTAACTCAAATTTTGAAATCAGACGAATGTGTGCCAGAAACTAAGGGCTCATACTACCACAAATGCACCTGTATCTTATGTTTTCCATCTAATTCGAGTGTGTGCTCGAATGTGAGATGCACAATAGAAAATAACTGTGTACTCGCGAGACATTGTTTGTTTGGATCTCGCTTTTTAGTCTCTTTCTATCGGCTAACATTCATGCGCTAATCGCGTCGATTCTTTGCATCAAGATCAAATAAAGAAATGGTTTCATTGAAAAGAGTTGAAATAGACTGTATTTGCTTCCCAATGAAAACTGTAGCTAATCCGAAAAATCTCTTTTTTGCGCCTCGGAATCATCTGGGAGAGTTCATAACTAAGGCGTAAAAGGCCAAAGCCTACCTGTATAGGCAAAATTCACTCATTTTTCGTTCACGTGACCATGACTGCAATACTGAAAGACGAACAGAAGTCACAAATAGTGCTGTATCAGTTACAGTATACAATGTGCAACACTCTAGTCAAGGGATGATGGTGATTGGTAGCAGCCCTATTATCAGCGAAAACCTCGTTTTCTCATTATTAAGTGTTGTGAAACCTGGTCACGTGATTCATAGGACTTTTCTTCTATCCTATAATTCAATCTCACGAACAATTTTGACAAGAGACACTCGCAGCATAATTCAGCAGCCTATTACAGAAGTTACCTGAATTGACGAAAGCTTAAACTATGAGGCTTTGCTAACGAAAATGATTCATTCATGATTTTTCGATTTTGTTTCTCAAACAGATTGTAAATTTTTTTAGATGGATTCCAATTATCAAGCTGACAGCTTCTGTGAGGGACTTCGAGGCATTAAGGTATTTGTATTCCTATCAATCACTGGTTTCTCCGTACCTCCACGTGAGTTCCTTACTATCTTCATATACTTCGTTTGGGAGATACGTGAACGGAGCTCCTTTGACTTTAAAAGATACTATATTATTCGCTCAGAATGGTATTTGACAACTTTTAATGAAGGGCACGCATATAGACCCTATATGCGTTTACGGGGCACAGCCAATGTCAAGTTGATACTACGGGCTAAAATCTACTCATTTTACAAGCTCGAGGTAATGCACCACGAAAAGCAAAACATTGGGCTTTCATATCGTTGAGTAGAAAGAAGCATACTCCAAATATCTTGAAATTTCTGCGTAACACTTGCGATTTAAATTGCAACATATCTTTAGGTATTAAAAGAAAATCAAAAACCATAGGTAGATACTAAAAGCTAAACACTCATACCAGAATTGAAAATGTTGAATTTAAAGAGTGCGTAATCACAATTACACCTAAGGTGGTGGTGTACGACAAGGAACCATTAGACCATCTAGAATACCAGCCATTAATGATTATAAATTCCAATTTTCTGGTAATTGTTTTGCGCTTAGACAAATCGTTACTATACAACCTTAAAGTATTTATAAGGGACTTCGCGCGGCATAAATGTATCTGTATTA